GAGAGAAGTGAGAACCATTCAGCGCCCTGATGTAACAAGGTATATATATAGGATCGCGTTCTGGTTCAGCGCCGTCCACGTGTCTAGATCTAAGGGATGAGAAACACTGATTTTTTTTATAAAAAAAACGTGGTGACATTTTCGTAAATAATTTAACATCAACGTGCAAGTAAAATGTACTACAAGTGTAAGTAGCAGTTTCATATAGTGCACCTCAGGGCATGTAAAATGTATTACAAGTGCAGGTAAAATGTATTACAAGTGCAAGTAAAATTTACACTAACCATCAAAATTAAGTGCACCTAACTTTATAACTAGCTAGGAGCACAAATAGTTATAACTTATAAGTAGTTGCACCTAGTACATGAATGTTAACAAGGTAAAATTACATGCACTTGTAAGTAAAAGTAGGTGCACTTGTAAGAGATTTTACATGCACTTTTTACTTGCAAAGGTGCATCGGCTACTTGCACTTAAACACATTATATTTACATGCACCAAAGTTTGAGTTATTTACGAAAAGGCCACCGCATTGTTTTTAAAAAATTACATCTGATTCATTCATCTGGACACGTAGACAGCGCTGAATGGTTCTCATTCCTCTCCTAGGCGGCCGTTTGCATGAGAGCGTGCCCTATATATATATATATATATATATATATATATATATATATATATATATATATATATATATATATATATATATATATATATATATATATATATATATATATATATATATATAGTTGCACTCGGGTGCGAACGGCTCGCCCAGGCGCGAAATAGGAATGAATTCTGTTCGTCCATGTGTCCAGATCTAATGGATGAGAAACACTGATTTTTTTAAAAAACGCGGTGGCATTTTCGTAAATAATTGAACATCGAAGTGCAAGTAAAATGTATTACAAGTGCATGTAAAATGTATTATAGGTGCAAGTAAAAATTTACACTGAGCATCAATACTTAGTTGCACTTATAGTTCTAAGTAGTTGCACATATAGTTCTAAGTAGCTGCACACATAGGTATAAGTAGTTGCATCTAGGTGTATGAATGTTTGCGAGTGGTTTTCAGGAGTATTACTACCCGCTGAACTCAGATCAATGAATGTTAACAAGACAAAATTACATGCACTTACAAGTGAAAGTAGGTGCACAAATAGTTATAAGTAGTTGCACCTATAGTTATAAATAGTTGCACATATAGTTATAAGCACACCCAGGTGCATGAATGGTTGCGGAAAGTGAATGCTAACAAGGCAAAATTACATGCACTTATAGGTGAAAATAGGTGCACTTATAAGAGATTTTACTTGCACTTCGATGTTCAATTATTTACGAAAATGCCACCGCGTTTTTTTTTAAGTTATTAGATCTGGACACGTGTCACGCGCTGATTCGTTCGCATTTCCTTCCTGGGCACTTATTCGCACCTGAGTGCGTCCCTATATATATATATATATATATATATATATATATATATATATATATATATATATATATATATATATATATATATATATATATATATATATATATATATATATATATATATAGAGGTTCCGGTGCGGTTGGCATGCAGCCCCAGGTGCGGTCGGGGGTTAAATCTGAGCTATTGATCTTGCTTAAATCAACGTCCAAGATTATCAAAATAAAAAAATAAAAAAATAAAAAAATAAAAAAACATGGTGGCAATTTGGTAAGTTTTGCATTTAGGTCAAATTTAAGATGTGTGGGTTTGTGCTTAAGGTGTGTGGGTTGTGTCCTTAATGTGAGTAGTTGTTGAAATTTAAGGTGCGTGAGGTTTGTGCTTATGGTGTGTGAGGTTTGTGCTTAAGATGCATGGGGTTTATGCTTAAGGTGCATGAGTTGTGTGCTTAATGTGAGTAGTTGAAACTTAAGGTGTGTGAGTTTTGCACTTAAGGTGCGTGAGTTTTGCACTTAAGGTGCGTGGGTTGTATACTTAAGGTGCGTCAGTTTATAAACGGAAGATGCACGATGTTAATACTTAAGGTGCGTTGTTCTAACACTTAAGGTGCGTGTTTCTATCACTTAAGGTGCGTCATTTTTAGCTGATGCTTCTTTCTTCTAGACACACATTTTTTTTCATTGATTTGAGCCGTTGATATGAATTTGATCAACGGCTCAGATATAACCGCACAACTGCACAGGAAGCTATACCCGCACCTGAACCATATATATATATATATATATATATATATATATATATATATATATATATATATATATATATATATATGTATGTATGTGTGTGTGTGTGTGTGTGCGCGCGCGCGCGTGCGCGTGTGCGTGATGAGTGACGAGTGATCTCAATAGTCTATTAGGGTTCATCAATTGATGAGAATTTTAGTAATAAAAAAAAAGGGAAAATGACACTTTTTCCCCCTGTGTTATATACTTATAACACTTTTTCCCCCTATATTATTTAAGTGGCAATTTTCTCCCCTAATATATTAAATGGACATATTTACCCTTAAAATAAATATTTCCTTTATTTTACTTCTCCAACAAATTATAACCACAATTTGAAAAAATAAAATACATTAATTGTTGAATTTAGAATACTTTAAAAATAAAAAAATAAAATTTTAAAATAATGTTTGAACCAACAGTTCAAATTGGATCCGAAATTGTGAAACAACGATTCAAAATAAAAACCAAATCGCGATTATATATACTTATATGTGAGAGTCAATATAAATGCGAAAAAAACATACACTATTTGCAAATATTATAATTCTAATTTTAACCTATTGCTAGTAGTTGTTTCGATTTGAACCTCTGGTTCACGGTTCAGAATCTATTTTTTTCCACTTCACAATTTTAATAAACGGAAACCCAAATATTGGGTTATGTTATGAATCATAACCGAATTTTTTTTTATTTGATTGCTATAGTGTTCGGTTCAGTTCGAACCGAACCGTGGCCATCCCTACGTATAAACAATAATTTGTTGAACAAGAGAAATAAATAAAATATGTATTTAAGGGTAAAAATGTCTATTTAATATTATCAGGGGGAAAAACCGCCACTTTTATAATAATTGAGGGGGCAAATGTGGATGCATGAATAACTCAGGGGGAAAAAGTGCTATAAGCATATAACATAGGGGGAAAAAGTGCCATTTTCCCTAAAAAAAAATGTTTGGTCAATTTTTTAATTATTGAAAATTTTAAGAGTGGGGTTTATTTTATACTTATTGTAAACATTAAAGTTTAGTAATGATAAAATCTTAAACTTTAAACTTTAGTAATGATAAAATCTTAGTCTTTGATTTATCAAGATGGAAGAAGTGGATGCGTTAACACTATTAACCGGGGAGATGTTCTCACATGAACCCTCTCTTATATATATACAGAGACATATATGTGACAATGAAAATGTTGTGGTATTATTTTCATTCTATGTGGTGAATCCAATGTTATATTTACTCAACTAAAATGCATCTCAATTAAACCCATCAATTTGTACCACAGATCTCGTTTTAGAGTTGAAACCCATAAATAATAGTCACAAATATTATACCTTCAATTAAAAAGTTGAAATTCATCACTACAAAATATATATAAACTAAACTAACAATCTATGCTTAGACAACGTCCTAAATAGGACATACGGACTCCTAACCTGCCTTAGGGTTAAGAAATTTCTATCTTAATTATTAAATTAAGAGAAAAGTTGATGTCGCATTTCGAAGCAATAGGAAATGAGAAAAATATTATCGGTGGTTTGGTAAATAGCTGTTAGTTGATTGGGTTAGTGGATTTGACTAGTTGATAGCATTAACTGATTGTAGAAAAATGTTTGGTAAATTAGCTTATAGCTGATTACATGCAAAAGTCTTTCTCAAAAAGCTTATCGAAAAAGCTGCTTTGAGCAGCTTTTTGAAGCAATAAGTTGTTACAAAAAAGTAAATTAATCAAACATTCATATTGATTGTTTAACCAAGTCAAACAATTAATAGTGATCAAATAAGACAAAATTAACTGATAAGCTAATATGTTACCAAACAGAGCCTAGATAAATCATAGCTTGATAATTATTAGGGAGAGGAGGATGGATGAAGGGATAAAAACTACGTACCATATCAATAGCATGTAGCTGACAGTATGAGCATGTTCATTGAAACAAAGTTGAAGATCAATTTTCTTGAAAGCTTTTGCCAAAGTTTTGCCTTTATATATACTTCTTAGGAATCTATTTTTATAATAAAAAAAAAAATAATAATAAGGGGCACGTGCAGAATGCAAACAAGTTGCAATTGTAGTTCTAACTTGGCTTCATTACAATTAATTAAGCAAGTTGATTCTTTTCTCCCTACAATAATGTACTTCGAAACATTGCTTTATATGTGTATATTTCTCAAGTTATGATGTGTTGTGTGGATCACACTCCAAAAATGACATCATTTTACATAAAATTTTTGTTTACGCGACTCACTGCAATATACATTTTATAACTCATAATGTACATTATTTTAAAGCATAATGTACATTATCTTACCCCAGAAGTTTCATTATTCTTAACACATAAAGTAGGATAATGGATTTTGAATTAGAATAATGTACTTTATACTTTAGAATAATGAACTTTATAAGTTATAAAAATGTATATTACAACAATTTAATTGAGGAAGAAGCAATGGGGAGAAAAATACAAATCGTGTGAAAAAAAAAAAAAAAAACAAAATTTCACAAACCCATGTCGCACAATTAACAGCGCTAACGGTGTCGTTTTGGACCGTGGACCACAATCCAAATAATGATTGTTGTGGGGACGATACCCTAAAGATGCTATTCCAAAACTTTCAAGATAAAGACGAGAATGGAAACTCACAAGTTTACAAAAATAAAAAATAAAAAATAAAAAATCTTATCTTATTTTGGGGTGGAGAGAACTGGAGAAGGACAACGTGATTGCATGATACACGAGCGATATCTATGTTTACCATACAATGGATTTAGCCGTATAGAATATGGTGCTGGAAGTACCATGAAAATCCACAAACATTTCATACAGTATAAAAATTGTTGAAATAACAGTTTGACACAGACATTATGAGTTTCTGAGCATAATTGAAGAATCCATGATACACACAAAAGAGAAATTAAACTTGCAATTTCATATCATGCCCCTGCGGTGACCGTTAGAATTTAAGTACAGGAAAACTACATTACCGACATGGACATTATCTGACGGGCAAGACCAGGATCTTGTTGTAATAGCTCTCTCAGGTTATTCTCCACCTCGGCCATCTGCTTTTCCAAGTACTCCTTTGAGGTCTGTCCATATGCAAATAATAATTTCATAACTGTTACACTACTCGGGTTGAAATTTACAATATTCAATCAGGGTGTTATTTGGAGAGGTAAAAATGCATATTTTATAAGATTGAAACTACTTCCTGCTTAGTTCAACTGGAGTTCGAAAGAGACAAGAATAGCCATGGTTACAATCTATTGTTTCATTTAGAACATAACCCAAAGTGGCATATAAACAATTTTAAAAATCATTTGCCATAATTGTATAAAGCATGAGTCCAGTCATTCCCAGATCATGACTAAAAGTCCTGGATTTCTTTACTCTATAACATACAAAACACGTACAAAAAGATGGATAAATTTCCATCTTCACTTGAGCTTCTATCAAGTCCTACATTTCACTTACCTCATTTTTCTAGTTTTTCAATGGTGACTTATCCACCAATTATCTCGACTTGTAAACTAGCTAAGAGGAATGTTTCTAGCATCAGCCCAAAAGCTTACATAAGAAAGTAGATTGGCTCATGAAATGAAGCCACAATCTCTACAGTTAAATTAGTTGGGCCTGGATTATTTTATATGCCAAATGCCAGCATATTCATGAGGGACAGCAGAAAAACCTGCAGTCATTCCTTTATTACCTTTGGCTCTTGGAAGTCCATTTGTAATTTCATATTATGAAATTGTTATATTTCAGATCTATGGGGTATAAATTAGTTATGGTCCATTCCAGAATTTAGTTAACATTTGGTTAGCGCTTAACACACCAATGTGAAAACCGATATACAACTAGGGTTGCATATGTTGAGGACTTTTGTACCCTACCATCAGATTTGATACCCATTACAATGTCTGTTTGCCTACTTTTGCTATCCTACTGTTAGATTCAAATCCTTTATCCTTAGTCATAAAACCCATTACCCTTCTTCTCCCCTACTTTTGAGCAATGGAATAAAAAATGAGGAAGAAAAAACCAAAAAAAGGCCATTGTTCATGCAATTTAATATGAAACTTTAATATACAGACTCATATATGTATGTGTATATATATGTTTACATATTTGTATATATTTATTTATTTTTATTTTTATTAATTAATTAGTTATTTATTTATTTTGATTGATTTCAATTCGTATTTACTACCAAACAAAGAGACATCTGTTACTAAAACCCATTATCATTACTAAATATTTGATTCCAATTCCAATGTGAACCAAACGCACCCTAAGTTTCTTTTCAATTTCCAATATTATCATTTAGGTGAAAATGTCTTCAATTTACTTAAAATGTCATTTAAGGAATTTCAATTGTTAATAGTTTCAAGTGGGAAATCCCCCAAATATGTACATACTTTTCCAAAATAATAGATGAAACAAAAACTCGTATACTAGTACTGAACAAATTTGATTTCTACCTGTTTATGGCCAAAATCAACTACTGCAATTATTCATTGAAACTTTCTAATTATATAACACCATATCCAATGATTCCCTTGTGATTTGTTAAAATTCTCAACAATATGCCAATGAAAGATACAAAAGCTCAAATCTGATTTATTTGGTATGACAAAAGAAAACATAAATCATAACTACCTAATTTTCATTTTCTTTTGACAAAGCAGAAATGTTACTATTCAGTTTGGGAATTTAACATTTATAACATGATTCGGTTATCCAATTAGTTTAGTTTTATTATCATATGTGTATGTAGTTTAGTATGTTGGGGCATGTCCATCAATCTATTTGGGAAACAAAAAAACTAAAAAATAATAATAATAAAATAAAATTAAAAAAAAAAAAAAAACAAAAATAAGAGAAGAAATTAGACCTGCAAAGCTGTAATTGCAGCTTCACTATCTTTTAACTTCTTCTCTTGCTCATCCATTAACACTGACACGGGCTCTAAGACAAACCTGAAGATAGCACCACAAGAGAAATAAGTAATAGGCCTTATATAGCAAAAGCACTAGGATAGTAAGGCATATATAAATATCCTTAGAACTTCATGCCTAAAAGTTCTAAGGATTTAGATAATTGTAGGCATGTTTGGACTTCAGAGTTCAGAATTTACGTTCTTCCTGCAAACGAGAAACAAAAAGGAAAGATAACAGTTAGACTTTGATTAAATACTGAAAATCTTTTCAGAACCAAAGTCTACCAGCTTAATGAAAAATGGGATCATAGTAAATGAACTACAAAGCTAGTCCACATATAATTTCTCTACCTATCGATTTGTAGGTAACAGTATCATCAGATAGGTGCCGCAGTTCCTCCAATGTCAAATATGCCCGCTTCTTTTCCCCTTCCTTATTTCGCATTTGGGTCTGGACCTATAGCCCCAACAACAATTCATTAGTAAAAACAATTCCGAGTTAATTATTAGTTTATGAATGCTTGGTACCCATTTGCCTAATGATTTCTTCAACCAAAATACCCTTCTTCACAGCAATAAAATAGCATACAGAAAAGAACTAAGCAAGATTTATGTTTTTTTTTTTTATCACTTCGATCTCAATAAAGTTAGAATTTTTTTTTGTTTTCAAACACAAATTAAATAGTACACTAGAAGGACAACCAAATTCATGTTCAACCACAAACATTATACACAGGCGAAAACATGTATACACTGTATCCATACATTTTGTGCATAAGACTAACCTGCTTAAATTTTCCGGTGAGTTCGATCATGCGACCCTGTATTTCAATAAAAGCCTGTTTTGAAAAAAAAAAAATTAAAGGCGTTAATGAAAAATCGGTAGTAAATTACTGCTGAAAATGAAACAAAATCAAAATAGAGAGGAAAATTCCATGTACTTACTGCTCTGTTTGCTTCATCAGCCATTTTCAACCTCAAATCCCTAGTTTTCCAGGAAGAACGAACGGGGACGAAGAGGAGTTATGAGTGATTTCCAAAAAAAACGATTGGATTGAAGTATTTAATTAAGCCCAATAAAACAAAGTTGGGCCTTCGGCCCGAACACTTTTCAATCCACAACTGGTTGAGAATTACAGAGATCGAGGTCAAAGATTCTCTCTCTCTCTCTCTCTCTCTCTCTCTCTCTCTCTCTCTCTCTCTCTCAGTTCGAACGGCTTCTCTGTTTGCCGGCTCTCCATCACTAAACGCACTTCGACGACTCAGTGAGTGATGGGGTGCGATACGCGCTACGAGATCCACCAAAACGCCTACATCAAGCTCGTCCTCCATGCCCTCAAGCACAAATCTTCTGCCGTCAACGGCGTTCTCCTCGGCCGTCCCTCACCCGCCGGCGACGCTGTCGAAGTCACGGATTCAGTCCCTCTCTTCCACTCCCAGCTTGGACTCCTCCCTCCTCTTGAGATCTCCCTCATCATGGTCAGTCGCATATACCCTTCACTCTTGATTTTCAATTTTTTAAAGGATATTTTAGGTTTAGGGTTCACTGGTCAGCTCTTGATCAAAATTTAGTATTTCTTTTGTAGATAGAGGAGTACTATGGTGATAAGGGTTTGAGTATTGTTGGGTACTTTCACGGCAATGAGCGTTTCGATGATTCCGAGCTCGGAACTGTTCCAAAGAATATTGCTGATCACATCTACCGATATTTTCCTCAAGCTGCTTTGCTTCTGGTACTCCATAACTATGGCCTTTCTAGATTTTTGTTCGTTTAATTCCATAGATGATTGAATCTGTCGTTTTTTTTTTTTTTTGGTAATTTTGTCAGTTAGATAACAGGAAGCTCGAAGCTTTGCCCAAGAGTAAAGATAGGAGTCCTGTGATGCAGGTGAGTCACTGCAATCTTTTTATTGGAGTTTAGAGCATTTGTTAGAAACATAGAATGTGAATTTATGTAATTAGTTCAGAAATTAAAAAGAGTTAGCATCTTTTCCCAGACTATTAATGAAGTTTCCATACACTTGATTTTGATCAGTGTAGATGCATCATTATCTTCTGTTAGCATTTTTATACACTTGATTTTGATCAGTGTAGATGCATCATTATCTTCCGTTAGCATTTTTATTGCATTTTTAGGGGGTGGGAAAGTTGGATTTGAGCTCATTCTTTTGCATTTAGCCATGATGGTATTGCTAAAATGCTAAATATTTTTTTTTATTACAAAGGAAGGGGATACCCATACAATCTACACCTACACTGAGGCTCGAAACCTAGACCTCCCACATAGGGGAGCAATCCGATACCAGTGGGGAGCAATCCGATACCAGTGGACCACAAGCCACTTGGTGCTAAAATGCTAAATATAAATTGATAATTTACCACTTGAAGTTGTTTGAGTTTTAGTAACGCCATATCAATTACTTCACTGAATTCCTCTTTCTTATACAGAGTGTCTTTTTTTTTTTTTTAATGGGGTCCTATGACACTATCACTGCCTTCCGCTGTATCTTTTATGACCCCACAGATCTGATGCCTCTTATTGTATGTTTAGTGTAGTTGATTTATTTGTGGAGTGTAAAAGCTCTCAAATATCTTTACATTTGATTTTGGCCCTGTTTGGTAAATGGCCGTTAGCGGTTAGCTGATTGCGTTAATTAGAAGGTATAATTAGTTGATAACATTAGCTGATTGTAGAAATGTGTTTGGTAAATTAGCTGTTAGCTGTTTGGTATAATTTCCTTCTCAAAAAGCTAACTGAAAAAGTTGCTTTGATCAGCTTTTTGATTTTTAGCATTTTGGAGTTACAAAAGGCTAATTAATCAAACATGTATATTGATTTTTTAACCAAATCAAAAAACTAATAGTGGTCAAATAAGCTAAAATTGGCTTATAGGCTAACTATTTTACCAAACAGGGCCTTTATCTCCTTTCTTATGGGCCTTGTGCACTAAGTGGTGATGTTTAATTTTGAAATTATGTTGCATTACTATGGGGTTTTGTGAAGTTTTCCTGTCTGCCATTAATAGGATCATGCATGACTACTTTAAGTTGGCGTGTCATAAGTGTTTGATTGATGAGGTTAGCTTTGCCTTTGATTATTGAACTGTCTGTGTTATTCCGCTTGATTGTTTACCTTTAGTGGATGTATGTTTCCATGCATAATTGCAGGCATTAGTCGGTTAGATTGATGACAAGCATTTATCTGTTTTTGTTTTCACTTTTTATTGGCATTTGTTTGTGAGTACAGTGGCTTTTCAAATTTCAACATATATTGCAATTTGTTCTCAGAAGTTGACTAATTTGAGACTTGGAATATATAGGCTTCTTCGGTTATATTAGTCTGCTGAATACCATATATGTTCATGTGGTGATTCAGATCTACAATCTGGTCGAGGTTTTCAGTTATGTTATTAGTCTTTGGTGTATGCTTGTATATATGGTTACATGATCTTGTTTGTGTTTGCATCATTCGTTCAATTTCTTGTGTTAATTTATTTTTTATTGTTTAGTTTTCACTTTTATGTTTGTATGTTACTATGCGTCTTGATATCTTCATCCTATAATAATAGGGGGAAAAATAGTGACTTGGGCACGTGTTATTTTTCTTCTTGTCAGCTGTATACAAAGGACACTTCTAGGAGCTGGAAACTCGTAGGATCAGATGGAAACAATCAATTGACAATTAAGGAGCCATCAGCAAACGTAGTCCTTTTAGATTATATTTCGTCAGAGAAATGGAAAGACATCATAGACTTTGATGACCACCTCGATGACATTAGCAAGTAAGAATAGTAGAATACTGTACCTATACTTTCCACCGGTTTCTCCACCAAATGAAACCGCTGCTAAAACCTAACTGATGTTTATTTGTGACAACGATTTCTTGACAGGGATTGGCTGAACGAGGGACTCTTCAAGTGAAATTTCCACTGAGGAAGGCAATTTTCTGTTGTTAAATTGGGGTTGCTTTGCTTGCCTCTGTTTTCTTAGAAGGAATGTACCCTTTAAAAAGTGGCAATTATGATGAAAGATCAAGGATATTGTAGAAGAAAAAGGAAACTGGGGAGGGGCTTGGTTTAAGAACAATGATCTTTTTTTTTTCAGTTTGATACTGTTATTAATATTTTTTTTTTAAAGAATGTTAATCAGTTTGATGTTTGCAATTGAAGAGGAAAAACCAATTTATTGTTTCTCATGCACTGAATTGGAAATGAATTGATAAATTAAAGTTAACATTTCTATAATGTATGGAGTTATTACCAAATCAAGAGAAACATATTATTATGTTTATTTTGTTCATGTGATACTTGGTAAAAATAAAAGGTTACACTTACGATATGTTTTTTAGTCAAATTTCACAAAATTAAATACTTTGAGCATAATAAAGTATTAGGCTAGAGAAAGTATGTATACCATATTACCAAAGCTTTGGCAAATTCGTGCAATTATCATCATGAACAACATTTTACTTTTGAGTTCTACTACATACACTCCCAAAATTCTACTCCCTCATTTATACTCTCTGAGGTGGCTTATCAGGATTGGTTATTTTTATCATGTGGGTCCACAGAAAAATGTCTACATGAGGAGTATGTGAGAAATGGGAGTACACCAAGTATTTTCCAATAAAAAATTTCTTTTGACTTTTTTGTTTATTTGAATATTTAGACATTAGATTGAAACTATTATTTTTCAGATTTCTAAACAGACTCTTAATTTAATTTGTAGATAGGAGAAACATCTTGTGCACAGATAGCATGTAGTGACTCTCCTATATGGAAGGTCATGAGATCGAGCCTCAGTAGAGGCGGTGTTGACTCTTCGTGATCTTTGTGCTTCAACATGTTGAAAAAGTATGTATGAACTCATACTACAATGTAATAGAGTCACTAGTTAAAAAAAAAAAAAAAAAACTACCTCGTAAAGTGGACCATTGACATAAGGTACATTTTTAATATACTGAAGGTTCATTTCCAAATAATGAACTTTCAATATACAAATAATGTATCATAATGTACGATGATACATTATTTGTATATTGAAGGTTCATTTCCAAGTAATGAACTTTCAATATACAAATAATGTATCATAAGGTACGATGATACATTATTTGTATATTGAAGGTTCATTTCCAAGTAATGAACTTTCAATATACAAATAATGTATCTTCAATATGCCAAGGACCTTGCGGCCTAATGTCACCAAGTTACTCGCTTTTTTAAGTTTAAGCTCCAATGTATGCGATATTGACTCTTGACTTTTTGTGCTTCATTAGGTTGAGAAAGTAGTGTATATTAAAAATATTCCTTATGTCAGCGATCCACCTTACAGGGTGGATCATAGTCCCCAATATAAATTGGCTATTCTTAAAGACTTGCCAAAAAGCCTTTTCGGCTTATCACATTTTTATTAATTTTTCATATGCTTAAATACTTATCAAAAGGTCTTATGGACTTAATTTTATTCACACTGAAAAATTCTAATCGTAGAGTAAAAGAGACATCCATAAATCTTTGTGTTACTTTTTTAAATCAATTTTTCATATTCTTAAAGACTTGGCCAAAAAGCTTTTTGGACTTGATTTCTTCATCCAGAAAATTAGTCTTAACATGAAAATGACACTATGTAAGTGGTTATTTTGGGTCATTTGCTTAGTGCGTTGATTATTTATTATCAATTTGATAATAAATGTATGGTCTTGTAACTCAGTTGGTTAGAGTGTTGGTCTTATGAGCCGAAAGTCGTGAGTTCAAGTCCCACCAAGACCAATTTCAAATTAAAAAAAAAAAAACAAAATTACATAATGTATTAAAATATAATATAGTTCTAATTCAAGAAATTATTAAATACATGCATATGAGTCGAAAGTGGTGGGTTCAAACCCCATCAAAACCAATTTGAAATTAAAAAAAAAATACATAATGTATTAGAAAGTGTTGGTCTTATGAGCCGAATTAGTATAACAACATTTTACTTTTAGTCCACACTCCACACATATAATATTTTCACTATTACAATATAACAATATTTTATTTGTATAATATGAGCATTTGAAACATTTGTTAAGTGGCAGTTATGCAAATAGAACAAGTCGACGGTATTGTCCCAGTGTTCATATGGAAAAAATATTCTGATATGATGAATAATTTAGCGCAGAATGCTTCATAAATACTCCTGAAGTTTCTTGAAATTTACAAATTTTTTAATTATTAACAATCACTCGAAATTTAATCTACTATTCATAAAAGTGTTTGACTAGGGAAGTGTTCAAATTTTCAACTTGTGACTAAATAACTCTCTCTATGCGCGGCCAAAGACCTTGTGGTCAAGCAGGATAAGTGTGACTTGTTATTGACTCTTTGTGCTTTAATATGATTTAAAAGGTTACATTTACGATATGTTTTTTAGTCAAATTTCACAAAATTAAATACTTTGAGCATAATAAAGTATTAGGCTAGAGAAAGTATGTATACCATATAACCAAACCTTTGGCAAATTCGTGAAATTATCATCATGAACAACATTTTACTTTTAGTCCACAGAGACAATAGTTTATTTTTCTTGTGTTTGTTTGAATGTCAGAAAATTTCGTTGAGCAAAATAAAAAACTTTGTTTTTTCTTTGAATATTCAGACACTAGATTGAAACTCTGAGAAATGAGTTATGGAAATTATTTTTCGAATATCTAAACGGACTCTTAATTTTATTTGTAGATAGGAGAAGCTTTCGTAAGTCTTTGTGTCACATTTTTATTAATTTCTCATATTCTTAACAATTATTATACCATTGACCATGATCCACATCGTAAGGTGAACCATTGTCATAAGGTACATTTTTAATATAGTAAAGATACATTATTTATATACTGAAGATTCATTTCCAAGTAATGAACCTTCAATATATAAATAATATATCTTTATCTTTAGTATATTAAAAATATACCTTATGTCAGTGGTCCACCTTACAGGGTGGATCATGGCCTTTTTGGGCTTATCACATTTTTATTAATTTTTCATATGCTTAAATACTTGTCATAAAGGTTTTATGGGCTTGGTTTTATTCACACCGAAAAATTCTAATCGTAGAGTAAAAGAGACTTACATAAATCTTTGTATTACTTTTTAAAATCAATTTTTTTCATATTCTTAAAGACTTGTCCAAAAAGCTTTTTTTTGGACTTGATTTCTTTCATACAGAAAATTAGTATTAACATGAAAATGACACTATGTAAGTAGTTATTTTGAATTTAGCACCAACGTGATTATAAATGTATGGTCTTGTAACTCAGTTGGTTAGAGTGTTGGTCTTATGAGCCAAAAGTCGTGGGTTCAAGCCCCACCAAGACCAATAAGTTACATAATAACTATTAAATGCTTAGTTAATCAGTATAACAACATTTTACTTTTAGCCAACACAAATAATTTATTTCTACTATTAAAATATAACAATAGTTTATTTGTTGAATATGGGCATTTGAAACATTTGTTAAGTGGCAATTATGCAAATAGAACAAGTCGACGATATTGTCCCAGTGCCCATATGGGAAAAATATTCCGATATGATGAATAATTTAGCGCACAATGCTTCATAAATACTCCCGAAATTTCCTGAAATTTACAAATTTTATTATTATTAACTATTACTCAAAATTTAATCTAATATCAGCTAACACACCGAATGATTATTAATTAGTTTATAGGCCTCCCACACCACACAAAGCTAGGAATCATTTTACTCAAATGGATAAACGAAAATAATGACAAACTATATTATATACCAAAAATTAAAATACTAGAGAGCAACACGTTTTAATTCAATTTTATATTCTCTAATTATGATTACTTGATGAAGGGAAAAAAAGCATTAACACCGATACCAAATAGTCACATCATGGAGTATTTCTAAAATTAAAGTAGAAATTAAATCCAAAAAAAATTGAAGTAAAAATTAAACCCAAAAAAAATTGAAGTGAAAATTACATAAATCCTTAATATGATGAGAGTGTATATATCCGAGCTCCGTAATAATAATAATTAGTGTTGTGGGTTAAAGTACAAAAGTTTGCAACGAATTGAAATTAAATGTTTGAAAGATGATTTATTAATTTTATCTTAATTTCTAATGTTTATTCAAATATTGAAATGCAAATTAAAGAAAAAGAGAGTAATATACCTGTTGAGGGAAGTCTCCATCATCCATCTGTGAATTTATCAATACTCTGATTCCTCGGTGAATCGGTGTTGGATCTATTTCTGCCTGATTTTCGCCATACCAAATATATATTTTGATTAAAACAAAAATACCAATAAAAATGGAAAAAAAAAAACACGCATTTTTCACCATTAGCTTATAGGATTTGTCATTTCAACATTCAAGTAATATTTTAAAACTAATTTTTATTCAATTTGATAAGAGTCCAAAAAAAGTTTATACTGACCTGGCCAGCTGCAATAAGAGCTAACAGAGCCCAAGAAGTATGAACCAAATGTGATCGATTGTCTTCAAGGTTTGTGTACACCTAATAAGCAGACATAAGTTTTAAAAAACCAAAATTCATGTAAGAATAATAGCAATATGTATATATAAAATAAGAATTAAATGAGAATCACTTTTTCTGTGTGAACATATACGAACTATCTATTGTGCAACTTGTAATACTTGATTTTTCATTCATGCATAAATGATTCTGCAACTTGAAAACTCGTATTTCAGTAACTACTTACTTTTGTATTTTGGGATGTGCAACTTGTAATATCTGATTATGTAACTTCTAATTTTACGATTGTGTAACAATCTGTAATGCCTGATTGTACAACTCCTAAAGCCTAATTGTGTAGTTTGCATGTTCACACGGGAGTAGTGGTTCTCATTTTTATCCGGCCTATATATATATATATATATATATATATATATATATATATATATATATATATATATTGAAAAAATCGCTAGGCGCCCTCTAGACGTCTGGGACCGCCTTGGGCGCCTAGAATGTCTAGACGCGATTTTTACAACATTGATATATATTGACAGGACCAAAACCACGGCTCCCGTGCAAATATATGCGAACTGTACATACAGGCTTTATAAGTTGCACCGGAGCCGTAGTTTTGATCCAACCTATATATATATATATATATATATATATATATATATATATATATATATATATATATATATATATAATATTCCAAACCTTTTTTGCACTAGATAGATAACTCTCTCCCCACCCCCCATCAGGGAGCTGCTTTGAGAGCAAAAACTGAAAAGCCTTGCGCACTGCAACACTATTCTTGTAATTCTTCCCACAACTGGCTAATGCCTCCACTCCAAACCATGTTCCATATGTGAAGCAATTTCCCCAGCTACCAATCCTAGTAGTTAATAATCACAATTTCCAATTATTATTATAATTATAAAAGGTTTAATTCATTTTATTAAAAAGTTACAAAATATATCTTTTAACTTTGTAAGACTACGGTGATTTTAGTCACGAACAGAATTATCGTACCATGATCCATCGGGGTTTTGAACATTTTCGACAAATTCTATGGCTCTTTGGATGCTACTTTTTATTTCATTTTTTCTGTGCTGAGGGTGTAACTTTGTGAACATCAATAGACCCTGAATTGCAGATGAAGTGCACTCCACATACCTGGAAAATACAATTTTATTTTATTTTTTTGTCAAAAAAATATGCCCCATAAAATATTTACCGTAAATAACTCAGAAAGAGTAATTGTATGAATCTTTTTTTTTTTTTAGCGATATTATTGTCCTGGACATTGACTAGAATGGAGAATGAATCTCACGCTCTCTCAATGATAACATCTTCTAAGAACTCCAAAACATTGAGCTTCTGAAATTGAGCAAATAAAAAAAAACAATTATGATCGAGAATATTGTTTATATATAATAGTTTAAAATAAAATATTGCGTTTATTCACTTCTAGTTCTTCGATTATGACTTTTTAGCTTTAGTTATTATTATTATTATTATTATTATTATTATTATTATTATTTTTTTAAGATGTAGTTCAAAATATCATCTAAAATGGCCCTTATATGTAGTAAGCTAAGGGTTATGTTTGATAACATAGTTAGCTTATCAGTTAATTTTGACTTGTTTAGCCACTATTAGATGTTTGATTTGGTTAAACAATTTTGATTAATTAGTTTTTTTATAACAGCTTATTGCTCTAAAACGCTAAAATTCAAAAAAGTTACTCAAAACAGTTTTTTCGATCAGTGTTTTGAGAAAGTCATTTTACATGTAATCAGTTATCAGTTAACAGCTAAATTACCAAACATCTTTCTACAATCAGCTAATGCTATCAACTAGTCAAACACACTAACCCAATCAACTAACAACTATCAACTAACCATTATTTACCAAACACCCTCAAGATGTAGTTTGGTGAAATTCTTTAAAAAAAACTGAGGGCATTTTAGAATAAAATGGAATTCTTTTTAAAGTAAAAAAGTTAAGAATGAAACAAATAAACATTGAAAACTACCAGGACTATGTGGTCTAATGGTATCCGGGTTGGACTTTCATTTAGAAGGTTGTGTGTTCGAGCCTCAGTGGAGGTGTTATTAGCTCTTTGTGTTTCAGTAGGTTGAGAAGTATATGGACAGATACTACAATGTAATAGAGCTAGTAGCATTCAAAAAAAAAAAAAAAAAAAAACATTGAAAACTAATAAAAGTGAAAATATTACTACACTCAAATGATTGAAAGTGAATAAGTTATATATATATATATATATATTCACAATAACATACACAAAAATTACTAATAAAAGATGATTGAATTACCTCAACCCAACGAGGTGCTCGTACTGGCTCCCATGGGTTAAATCCTCCATTAGCATTCTGTCATAAACAATATTTTTTATTTATTTTATTAAATATATAAACTTTATTCATTAAACTAAATTCGATAAAAATTACAAAAAGTTGAACAAAAAATAGTTTACTAAACATATGTGTCATGCATCCCATTTAAAAAAAAAAAAATTATTATTACTTCCAATTGTGGACTAATATGATATAGAAAAAGTCTCCCCGCAAAAAAAAAAAAAAAAAAAAAAAAACTAGACTGATATGATATGTTCATCTAAGATAATTTAATGAATAAGGCTAAAATATAATCTAAGAAAATATGTAGTGTCATTTTAGCAAATAATGCAAAACTTTTGTTTAGCACTGTGATACATTTGAGAGTACGCATGTGGATAATTAAGAGTGGACTTAATTAAGATCTGTAAAGAGTAAACTCTAATTTTTTTTTTTTTGAAAGGAGTAAACTCTAATTTGTTTACACTATAATGTGCACTCATATGTTATGGCACAACAAACTTAAATGCATTATTGGTACAGATTGATTACACTATCAGTTGATGCACTATCAAACTTTATCCAATGAACATCCAAAGTTCATAAAAACTATAAAAATATTACTGCATTTTTTTAAAAAAAAATTTTCAACCTTGTCTATTAGATCATCCAAGATGGACGGTAGAAAATTGACCAAAATCTCAAAGCCACATCCCCCTCCCCCCAAAGTTGGTCTTATAAGAATTTGAAGAAAAATTATTACCTGTAGGGACAAAACAACATTCACAGCATCGTACAAACGTTGTGTCTCAATTTTTTCACCAACGAGTTCGGTAGGCATTTGCGAAAACCTAAGTGCAACCTATAATATAATAGTAATGGAGAAAAAAAAAAAGAGAAAAAAGTAAGAAGAAAATCGAAGCCAATATTTTCTTTTACTGGATGTGAATAATGTGATAGATTGTTGAGCATCATATTTATGTGTGTACATGCACAAAATCATAACTTTGAAGTATTAGTTGAGATGTAACACATTTATCTTTGATTTCGTATTAGTACAGTGTCATATTTATATTCCTCATTTATGTTCATATTTTTTAATGCTAATCATTTTATACATTGTACTTTTAGAGTTATACTATATAATTTTTTGGACAAAAATATTCCTATCATTATAACTTCCGTTATTTTTTCCATCATTATTACCATGCACATGCATCCACCATATATTTTCTTATATTCTTTAATGATCAATAATAATATTTGTAGACATTATGTATTAGATTATTATAATAAATAAATTTGATTTTATATAATTTAAATTAGTAAGAATTTGTTAACTATTTTTAAAAAATATATATAAATATTGGGCATATGTTTATGCGCATCGCGAATAGAAAAGACTATATATATATATATATATATATATATATATATATATATATATATACCAATAGGCCTTCGGCTGTGCAATCTGAGACTTGCAAATCCTGGTCTCGCATTGAGAATGTCCATGCCCCTTTGTTGCTGTGTCGATACTTGGCACCAAAATTGCCAGGAGGATTGTTCCTAATCTGGATTATAGGATCAAACGTTTATTACTACTTCAAAAATTATAACTAATAACGAATACATAATTTTATTTCCTTATACTTATGTAGCAGACAACGATATGTACAATTTGATGGCAGGATGCTGAATTCGGCTATTTGGGCTGCGGCCCAACAAATAATACAAATAGTCATATATATATATATATATATATATATATATAGAGAGAGAGAGAGAGAGAGAGAGAGAGAGAAAGTTGATCAAATGAAAAAGGAACTAACTTGAGAAGCATTCAAAAATTGATGTGCCTTCTTAAGTGTTGGCCAATATTCTTCTGCAAGATTACTGGACAAAAGTGCTCGGACGGAAAACGATAAATCCCACATTTGGCTTCCAAAGCTCTGCACTTAATTTTTTTTTCAATAATGTTATCATCCAATTGACAGTAACAATATATAGGCGTCGTTTGGTAAATGATTGTTAGCTGATTGAATTAATTAGAGGATATAACTAGTTGATAACATTAGCTGATTGTAGAAAAGTGTTTGGTAAATTAGCTGTTAGTTAGTTCATAGCTGTTTGGTATAATTTCTTTTCTCAAAAAGCTAATTAAAAAAGTTGCTTTTGAGTAACTTTCTGAATTTTAACATTTTAAACCAAGTCAAACAACTAAATGTGGTCAAATTAAATAAGCCAAAATTGACCTATAGGCTAAGTATTTTAGTTTGTCTCAAGCCCTAGACCTCCCACATAAGGAAGCAACCAGATACCAATAAACCACAATGTCCTTGGTAATCTTTATTGTCTTTTCGATCATCACAACAACATGTAATGATAATGATAATGGTAATAATAATCCAGCACAGCACATATTAGTTTAACTCACTTGTCCAGTCGACAATATTTGGGGAAGAGACTAAGCTAGGTTTGAAACTCGACAATGATATGACAGAGTAAGGATTATTCTCAAACTGGGCAATGATCCGTTTACATCATCCCAAATATATGTCGGCCAGAGTGTGGGGTCCATGAAGACCTTTGGAGTTGAGAATTCAACCTTTTGGAGAAGATAATAATGGTAATAAACTAATAATAACCTGAATTTTCATGCCATCTTCTGCTACCCAGAAGTAATCCGGGATACGAGCAAGATGCCTTTTAAATGCCTCACAATTGGGTTCCTCATCCCAACAAGGAATTATGCAAAGAGCCTTCAAAAGTAAACAACAAATTAAAGGACATTATTATAAACTTTTTGATAATTAAAAAAAAAAAAAAAAAAAAAAAAAACTCTTTTTGGTCCTCAAGTTACCTTTGGTACATTGCCTATACAAAGGTAATTGGTGCTTTCATCCTCGTAATGAATATAGTCCATTATCGCCTTGAGGGCTTTCTCTCTTATCTTTGAAAATGGCCAAATTCTTAGGGCAGGCTCAACAATGTGGTGATAAAACCCATAGATATAATAGGGCATTGTATTGGGTGGATAATTTATATCTTCCTAAAAATCCACAAAATTGTCAACTCATTTTTAAAAATCAAATTTTATGCAAATTTAGTGAAGTAACAAATTTACTTTTAGTATAAAATATTATAGAAAAATAACACATCACCTTAGCACACTCGAAGCGAAAATTGTTCCAGTTAATATTGTTGTAAGGTTGCGTATAGATTTCTTGTCTTAAAGAGAGAACCACTTCAGTTAGTGGTCCAACGAACCTCCTCCCATATAAATACGTCATGGGAACGAAAGTGAGGCGATTATAGCACATAAAATTACCTGCATTTTATTATCCAAAAAAGAATGTGAGAAGACAAAAAAATGCTAGCATTTATGAATATTTATAAGTTTTTTTTTGAAAGCAATATTTATAAGTTGAAAATAGAATAATATTGTAATTATTTTACCTGGATGGATAGGGAAACGCTTGGGAAGAAGCATTAATTCTGGGGGATAAGGATTACAACCATCCCACTCGTATACCCCCACTACCTATAATAATATGTTTGATTAAAATAAGAAAAATAATATAATTCTTCTTGCAATGCAATATCAAGAAATGAAATTATGTGATCGAGGAAAGGTTTTTGTTTTTTAATGAACAAAATGATAGTTAGTTAATCACATATTACAGGGATGAATAATCTCTAGTCAAAAATCAAAATGTACAAATGGTACGGTTAGATAAAATAGCATTTGGCATAGGAGCTAGTTTAGCTCACTGGTTTAATAAGCAGTATTTTAGAAAGAGATTAAAGACCGATACTTGAAAGAGGCAGTGTGGGAATTATGCTCAAAGTGGGCAAATCTTCCTTGGCTAAAGACTAAACCTTTGACATGAATTTTTGACTATTTCAATTAAAAGTTGTAAAGCTCGAACCCACAACCTCTCATATGAGATAACAACTTGGCATGGGAATTATGCTCAAAGTAGGCAGATCCTCATTGGCTAAAGCCTAAACCTTTGGCATGATTTTTGGCTATTTCAACTAAAAGTTATAAAGCTCAAACCCACAATTTTTCGAGAACAACTTGGTATCACTAGACCACAAAGTTTTTTTTTTTGGCTGTCCAAAGGTATCCCTCCAGCCGATAACCAGAAGACTAATCCCCGTTCCTACTGTCAGCACATTAAGTCGTAAAGGATTGGTCAAATGGTTTGTTCCATTCACATGAGCGGGGATCAAACTCCCAACCTCATACTTAAGGAACGAGGTGCTGAACCACCACGCCAACCATATTGGTACTAAACCACAAGGTTATTGGACTTTGACAACTTTTGTAATTATATTATATTATTATAATAGTTGCATAATAAATTCAATATAAAGTGGATTTGACATACAGCAAGCCAGAATTTTCCCCAAGAAGGAATGCCGGTAACACCACCATGGTCAAGAATCCACTTCCGACCCTTAGCCATGGCCATATCTTCTCCATCTTCAGGGCCTTCCCCAAGCAATCGCAACGTCACGTAACTTATTCCTGAACCAAACATGGTGCTAGGCCCCTCTATGTGTAACCCCCAACCTCCATCTTCATTCTTAATCACCAACAAATTTTAAATATAATAATTAAGAAATGTTCAAAAAACCCCCCAAAAAATAAAAATGGAACCCATTTAGAACCTAACCTGGTGATTGTACAGATAACGAATCATCTCTTTCTGGTGTTCCGAGGTTAGAACAGTGTCCAGTCCTCCTGTTACATACAAGGCTATAACCTGCAGCCAAGGCTTCATATTTAGTTAAACAAAAAAAAAAAAAAAAAAAAAAAAAATTCTATCTTACATGAAAGGTAAAAAATTCTATAGAAAAACTCAATGCTGTAAGGTTTGTTGAAAGAAAAGAAGAAAAAGCAGATAGAAAAGAAAGAAAGAAAGAATTGAAGTTACAAAGGATGGAAGAAAATAACAAGAGCCGGATGACTCTGTGGGCCAGTGGCCGTCGTTAGCCTGAATCGATGAGTAGAAGATGATAGCCCTTCTAAGTGTACTTGTAATTGCTTCTTCTGTGATACTCTCTCCTTCTTTCACCTTAATGGCTGCCGGAATCGGACCACATTCATTTTCCTTCTTAAACTGTAATAATAATATATCAATCAATGCATTATAACCACCATATTTTGTATACTGAAAAATAATGTACATTCAGTACAAAAGTAATGTACTTTTAGTATATTAAAAATGTACATTGCATTTAAGGAATGTACATTATTTGTGTACTGAGTATATACTATATTATATAATGTACATTCAGAAACATACACAAATAATGTACATTTAGTATATTAAAAATGTACTTTTTATTATAGTCCACATGTCACTGTGTGGACCATGGTCCACACAATAATTGTTGGGGCGGAAGATCCTAAAGGGCCAAGTCCAGTAATTGGTCGTTAATAGTAGTAGTGCCAAATTGCCAATGTATGCTGGCCAGTTCCACCACGAGTTGAAACTTTTGTGGGCTTTAGCGAGCCGGCCTACGGGCTCTTCAAAAAGTAAACTTTTGGAAAGTTTGCGGGTTAGCCCACAATCTGGGCTACGTAGCCTGCCAACCCGCATGAGCTAAAAATTTTAGGGTTTAACTTGCCCCTTTGTGGGGCGGTTTAGGGATGGTACACGGGTTTCCGCTCATTTTGCCACCTCTAGTTAAGAGATTGTTGGGCAGAGACTTAAAATGCAAGTCTAACACTTTGTCATTCCAAAATGTGACAGTACCAGTTACCTGCAATCGCATTAGTAGATCGGAACTTTGCTGAAATTTGAATCTATTCCTCTTGAAGTCGGCACGTAGCATTTCGACTTGGGCTCTCTCCTCCGGCGTTCCGGCGTCGGGATCGAATTCCCAGTGTTGTCTTCCGATGAAATTGTTGGTGCTGGTGAGTAGTGGGTCTTTCCCTTCAGCTATCCTTAGCTTCCACATTTTTACTGCACATATAGATCACAGCCTTGTACATTAGCTAGGCAACAAAAAAAATGTTTTTTTTTTCTTAAATAAAAAATTGCACCAGTTAAGTTAGTGCTTCTCGATCGAAGAAACAATGAGAATTCTCGTACCTTAAAGAATTTTGGAGATTGTTGGATTATATTGTGTTGATCGAATTGATGACTAATGATATATATATAGTTGTTGGAGAAAGGTTGGACTTAGGCATTTGGTTTGGCAATTTTTTAGTTGGCAATTTATTATCGATGACTCCAAACGAATGCCTATTTTCCTGCCGTTTACTCGAATTTTTGTACTAAACACAAAAATTGCATGCATACTCCATCTCCATGCATGACGTACTATATATCGCAACTTTTTGCTATAAGTTTTTGTTACCGAGAGAGTTAATTCTCAAAATGGTCCTCCGATTATGATCTTTTTTTTTTTTTTTTTTTTTTAAATTGGTTTCTTCACTTTTAATTGCATCCAAAGTGATCCTCTTACTATTGAATTTTAAGCCAAAATAGTAATCCGTTAACTTTGGTGTTAAGTGGGTGTTAAAATAAAGGAAAAGGAACAATTTATATTGTTTGTTGTTTAGACCTTTGACCAGCTCATTTAAAAAAAAAAAAAAAAAAAAGACTTGACTAGCCACTACTTGCAATGCAGTACTCAAAAATAAAAAATAAACTTGACTAGCCGATTTCTTTCCAGCGAAACAATTACCCCAAATCTTCAAATTAAACAATAAACCTATTTTCCCATTCTTCCCAGCGAAACGATTCTGCCAAACCAACACGAAAAAAAATTAATAATCAGGGCGCATTTTTAAAAAGGGGAAAATATGTTTCATGTCGGTCGCAATTTGGCAGAATCGTTTCGCTGGGAAGAAAGAGAAAATATGTTTATTGCTTAATTTGGGTATTTGGAGTAATTGTTTCGCTGGAAGAAATCAACTGGTCAAGGTTTTTATTATTATGATTTTTATTTAAAAAAATGAGCTGGTCAAAGGTCTAAATAACAAACAATATAAATTGTCACTACCTTTTGCCCTTCATTTTAACACCCACTTAACACCAAAGCTAATGGATGGCCATTTTGACTTAAAATTCAATAGTCAGAGGACCACTTTGGGTGCAATTAAAAGTCAAGAAATTAATTTGAGAAAATGCTATAGTCGGAGAACCATGGGAATTAACTCTTACAGATATGATAATTTGTACCAATCTCAACCTAGTTACACGGCTGGAAGGAAAGGGGGAAATGGAGTTGCCCCTCCCCTTATATATCATGGTGGCATTTTTGTAAATATTTCTAATTTTGGATGTGCACTGGACAAGTTTAAGAGTATATAACAGTGCACTAATATTTGAAAAAGAGTGAACCAAAATTTGTTGTAATGGAAGTTGTACTAATATGTTATAATGTAACAATGTTGGTCCCGAGCAAGTAAAAGTCTAGAAAGAAGAGAAGTTTGAATAGACTTTTTAAACTTTTTTACGTAAATAAAAATTATCAAAGTTGTTTTATAATGGAAGTCTTAAACATGTTAAAGTTTGATAGTAGCTTGTTTGGGTTTGCTTGGTAAAGTGTATGATGAAGATATGTGTCTGTGATTTGGATCGGTTGCAAGCAAAGTAAAGAGAGTAAGGAAAGAGATAATGAGACAATGTTTTTATGGTCATTTGTGAAATCCTTACTCCACATTTCTCCTTTTAACTCAAAGGAAGATTTCACTAGAGTTTAATAATTATAAATAATAATTAGATAATGATAATTACAAAAAATAGTCAATAAAAATAATAGTAAAATTAATATTTAATTATCTAGATAGTAATAATAATAATAAATTAATAACAACAATAATAATAATAAATAAATTCTATATATAATAAAGCCATATGGTCTTGTGAAAATTAAATGGTGATAATCAACATTTAATTTTCACAAGACCATAATAATATTGTTATTGTGAAAATTAAATGGTGTCAACATTTAATTTTTCACAAGACCATAATAATATTGTTAATTATAATAACAATAATAATAATAATAATTGTAACAATAATAATGATAATAATTTCTACTGACAGTTTCTAATATATATATATATATATATATATATATATATATATATATATATATATATATATATATATATATATATATATATAATTATTTATTTATATTTCAATTTCTACTGGCAAATTATTGTGTGAACGATGGTCCACATAATTGTATGGATCATGAATATCAAATACATTTTTAATATATTAAAAATATATTATTTTTATATTTAAAGTACCTTACATACATATATAATGTACCCTTAGTAGATTTAAAATATACTTTTTATTGCATGCAACCCCAAAGTTCATAAGTTTGAAATTAATATATGGCATAGCTAGGCGGCCTAATATTTAAGATTGTCAATGTGCATATTGAGGACTACGGAGACAAAGATGTGTTATTCGTGGATTCATCGGATACTATCCAACAACACTCTCCAACTTAATTGACGTGAAGTAGGCTTAGTAACATTAAGATTATATTCTCGAATTATTAGTTCTCATCTTTTATTAATTACACACTTAATTCGATAGTATTTGGAAGAAAAAATCAATGTTCGAACTAAGATTGTGATTTTGGTCTTTAAAGGTCAATTGTATGTTGCTACATCTAGAGTTAGAAATCTCAAAGGTCTAAAAATTTTGATCCGCGGTGACTCTAAAATTGTAATTCAATTACTATTGTAGTTTACTAAGTACTTAAAAATTGTAATATTAAATACTATGTACTAAATTTTTAATATAGTTTAAGATTTGTAGTAATTACCCACCTTAAATATTATTTTAATTGTAAATATATTTATGTTCATAATTTTATCATAGGAATTCACACATAATAATTATTAAATAACAAAAATTTTATATATGAATAAATCTCATATAGGGTATATTTTTATAACATATTTTCCGTGCATCGCACGGGACAAATACTAGTAAATAAATAATAACAATAAAAACAACTCCCTTATGAAAACAACATATTAAAAATAAAGACAATTAAATTTATTAAACCCAATAACAATAAATTATTAATTAACATAATTATCTTTAAATGATTCTACTTTATTAGTAAAGTTTATTAGGGCCTTAATTAAGTGGTGCAAGTTGACTAGGCTTATTAAGTGGTCTGGTTGGACTTAATAACTAGTAGTTGTTAGTCAACCAAACTCTGTGCCTAATATAACCTGGATTGATGGGATACAGGATTATGGATTAGATAGCACATTCAGTTACGGTACTCAGACCGCTCAGTAGACACCAATACACCATCTAGGGTTCTGAGTCAGGTCTGAGGCAAAACATGGCTGACGGTCTATCGTTAAGAGGCAACACAACAGGAACATCAACTATGGCTGGAGATCTACATGGCTACGCTTCCGCTATCATACGAGGTCAGGTTTCTCGTATACTATGGTTCATATAGTTAGACTATTGTATATCTAACATTTGGTAAAGAAGTAGATTTATCATATTTATTAATTGAAAAATGCTTTCTTCCCCTCCAATATTTTCTTTCCTAGTGTACTTGTGACTTTCACTCATTGAGTATCATGAATTGGTTGCCTCACCACTTATTAAAAAAATTTAGTTACCAATTAGATATTGTCAAGTCATAATGAATGAATTGGAGAAGAAAAATATTAGGAGTCTCTTGTATTACTCTTATTAATTTTCATTCAAACAGTACATTATTTATATTTGATGTATTAAATTTTTGTTTTTGTTTTTAAAGAGAAGTGAATGAAAAAGTAACAAAGCTTTGTCATTGCACTCTTCAAATTGATTCGATATTAATTATATATATATATATATATATATATATATATATATATATATATATAGAAAAAATTAAAAAAATGTTGATCAACACGACAACACTTGTGTCATGTTATACTTGATACAAACACTGAAGTGTACCTAGTTGTTTTTGATATTGTCAGTATTGATGTCAACAATATTCAATACAACGACTTGCAACATTTGTGTGGTTATAACACTTATAACTTGATGCTAGTTCTTGTAACTTAGTTCGTTAGAGTATTGTCTTATGAGCGGAAAGTCGCGAGTTTCAAGCCTAATCAAGACCAATTAAGTAAAAAAGTATTACAAAATGTAATGTAATATTTAGAGTTCATTTGGAAACTTGGAAAATATTTTTCAGAAAATATTTTACTTTTTTGGTTTTTGTTTGAATGTCAGCAAACTGGTGGTCCGACTAAAAATTCAGGAATTTTTTTTTTGCCAAATTATACTTTTTTTCCTGTTGAGCAAAATGAAAATTTTCTTTTGACTTTATTTTCTTTGAATATTCAAACACTAGATCGAAATTCTGAAAAATGAGTTATGGATGTCAGATTTTTAGTTTCTAATCGCACCCTTAGTTTAAAAATTGTAGAGTAGGAGAAGCTTTCGTAAATCTTTGTGTCACATTTTTATTAATTTCTCATATTCTTAACAATTATTATACCATTGACCATGATCCACCTCGTAAGGTGGACCACTGACATAAGGTACATTTTTAATATACTGAAGATACATTATTTGTATACTAAAGATTCATTATCAAGTAATGAACCTTCAATATACAAATAATATATCTTTAGTATATTAAAAATATACCTTATGTTAGCGGTCCACCTTACATGGTGGATCATGGTCCACAATGTAATTTAGCTATTCTTAAAGACTTGGCCAAAGAGCCTTTTGGGCTTATCACATTTTTATTAATCTTTCATATGCTTAAATACTTTTAAAAAGTCTTATGGGCTTGATTTTATTCACACTGAAAAATTCTAATCGTAGAGTAAAAGAGACTTCCATAAATCTTTGTGTTACTTATAAAAATCAATTTTTCATATTCTTAAACACTTTGCCAAACAGCTTTTTGGACTTGATTTCTTCATACAGATCGGAAATTAGTATTAACATGAAAGTGACACCATGTAAGTGGTTATTTTGGGGTCATTTGGTTAGTGTGTTGGTTACATGATAATAAATGTATGGTTTTATAGCTTCGTCGGTTAGAGTGTCGGTCTTATGAGTTGAAAGTCGTGGGTTATAAGGTGAAATTAATTACTGCAAGAGCGAAGAAACAAAGTCAGGAGAGACAGAGTCCCA